GCGCTCCAGTCTGCTCCGGCCCTCCCTGCAGCTTGCCAAGCAAGGCCTGCGAGTGCTAGACGGCAGCACTGCACCGCGCCGTGCCTAGGGGCACTTGGCCCGTCCAGAGCCATTCCCTGTCCCTAACCCCAGGTAACGGTTCAGGGCCCAACCTGAACAGCCCTCCTCGGTCCCAGGCAGCCCCATCCCCTCCAGGCTCCCTGACCTGCCCCATCCTCCATTCTCACCCCTTGCAATGGGATGGAGGGTATTGCATTACCTTGCACCAGCCCCCGCATCAGTGCCGGACACTACGGGCCCATTCATGCCAGCCCCTGTGTTAGCCTGAGACTGACCTTGGCACCCGAGGTAATAGCCCCAACTGCCTCCTCCGTCTCCACTTGCCCTAGTCTGCATCCACACCCGTGCCACAAATCCCACACCCTGTGTGCCCAGTCACTGGACAGGACAGAACTTGCTGGCAGCAGCCACAGCCATACAGGCATCTACCATACTGCAGCCGTACCTCATGCTCACGCTAGTGCTGGAACATGCGGCCCTGGCTTGGGAGAGTACCTGGTCCCAGGGACAACATTGGGGGTGTGATGGGCTGGGGAAAAGGGGTGGAGGTGGCAGCAGGGTTTATGCGTGTATACAGTTGGCTGGGGGTGGCAACAGGGGAGAGGGAGAGCAGGATATGCGGAGGGTGGGGGTGCTACAGGTAGAAGCAGCTGCCGGAGCTAGGCTTGGAGCCCTCCCAAGCAACCTGTACAGGGGGAGGCCAGCCTAAAAGGGAAGCGGCTTGCCCAGCCCAGTCACTGAGCCCTAGTCAAAGGCTTCTCAGGAAAGGCAGAGGGACAGCTGAGGCCTGGGTACAGGCACAGGGTGCAGAACAGCAAGGGCTGGCACTGCTCAAAGCCACCTGCAGCTGTCCTGATGCAGGCAGGGAGCGAGCTGGGGGCTAGACAGGGGGTGCAGGTCAGGACAGAGGCACTGGCAGGACTGTGGATTGGAAGTGAAGGTCAAGGACACGAGCAAGGGCAGGGCACTATTATATCAGCACTGCTCAGCACCATAAAGTAACTGTGGGGACATCCGCAACTGGACCCACATCCTGATGAGCAAAGGGGGCAGTAGGAGCTCTGATTCCTTATGATAAAAAAACCAAGAGCAAATACTAAAATATATAGGTATTTAGAATTTATTTTATTATGACTGAAACAGTGGTAGGCTTCCAAAATGTGTTAATGTTGTACATATATCAATAAAACATTGTGCTCAACTGACAGATGTATATGTACATGTATGAATATGTATACACACACACAGTTTCATTTTAATAATGAAAAAGTGTAGATTTGAGGAGGGGGTGTAAATCAGAAAATTTGTGATTTTTAAACCGAAAACTAGGATTCCCGCTGGTAAGGCAAGTGGGAGGACCTGGGTAGAGAAGCCTGCCCAGGGCTGGCACTGGGGACACAGCTGGCGGGTCAACAAGGTGGCTAACCTCCTAGCCATTTGGGGCCAGGGGACAAGCTCCAACAGTTCAAAGCAGGCCACTGCAATAAGCACATCTTCTGAGCAACAGCTGCCCAGAGGGCAGAGTAGGGGCACACAAAGGCCAGCTGTGTAGCCACAGCCCACTGGCAGTTGGCCCAGATGTGCAAGTGGCTCTGCTGCAATGTCTGTACCATAGCCCAGGCAGCTGTGCTGTTCCTGCCCAGGTATGGCAGGCATACAGTCATGGGGCTGCAGGTCCAAGGAGGCGGATGCTGTTGCAAGGACGGCAGGTCACCACCAGGCAGCAGTCCCCCTGGCCAGTCCAGCTGGCACAGGGGGCTAGTGTCCCCAGATACCAACTGGCTAAGCCTTAGAAGTTCCTGAAGGCAAGTAGCTCTGAGATGCTCAGCAGGGCAGCTTTTTATATTGCTAGGGCCAGTGCAGATGCTGGCCCCAGCCTCCGGCTCCCTCTGGCTGAAGGTCTGGGAGAAGCTGGGCAGCATCGCTTTGCCCCAAGCAATACAATTTGCCCCACACCAAACTGCACGTTCAGGCACATATGCCGAGGCACAAATCTCCGGCACAAAATTTATGCCACTGCTATTTGAGATGCTGCAAGCACACGTGCCTGCACATGTAGACAGGCCCTAGGGCTGCCTCCAGATGAGCGCAGACATGTGGTATGTGGCACTGCAGCCACATCTGCAGTGTCACACACCACACATGCAGGAGTTCCCTGAGCTGTTATCTTGCAGTAGGGGTGGGGGGAGTTTGACCTCAGGAGATTATGGTGTCAGAAAAACAAAAAAAACCCATACCCAAGAAAAGCAAGGTGGCACACATAGTGGCAGCATGCACTGCCCAAAACTGAAGCCTGCCTGGCTGAAGGCACACTCCAGCTGCTGGCCAGGCTTTCTGCTGTGGCTACAGCCCTGGGAGGCCCCCAGTTAAGGCTGCTGGGGTCAGCGAAGTTGCTGGCCCCAGCCTCCCCTACCTCACCTGGGGTAAATCTGCCACACACCAGAGCATGGGTGGCACAGGCGTTCCCTGGGGACAAGGAGTAGCAGCACAAGGTGTGCCACTGCTACTTGTCCACAAGGAAACAAACATCCATGCTTGTCTGAATGTGCCCCAAGGTGCTATTTTACCCTACCTTCTGCCTGACTTCAGATGAACACTGCTAACTACACTTCTGTATTTATGAGAAAAAAAATCACCCTGCATCTTTCTCAGACTGTGTATGTGACCAAAGGCTTATTGCTGGTGCAACCATAGGCATGATTTCATAGATAAGGTCATGGTGTGTTGCAAAGGATATATATTTTTTGCGAAGTAAAATAAAATATTGCTTCTCTGAAACCTTGATACTACTTTAACAAATACATACCTGAATATATTATTGCTGTATGATTACATTAAAAAGAAAAGCAAAGCAGGAAGAATTTAGTTCCGTCTATTAAACTGACCTGTTCAAGTGATTTGCCAGCCCAGCCAATGGCTTTCATCTTTCGTCTGACTTCCCATTGTTTCTGGTAGGCCAAAATGCGATTAAGAGGCCAAGGATAAGGGGATCCGTACCTTGGATGAGTGATCTTTGTTCAAAAAGAAAACAATATCATTTTAAAAGAAGTAAAATAAGAACACAGGAAATGCTATATACTGTTATTTACAAACAGCTAGGGTCTTCAGAGATCAGAGGAAATTACATTTTTGTGCAATATTAAGTTATTCAGCACAGAAATTCATAGCTTGCAGCTTAAAGAAAAAACAGTTTAAATCTATTACCTTAGAAATATATGAAAAACATATCTACTTTGCAGCCAGCTACATCCAGTAATGACACATAGCTTCCCCAAAATGTATATGCAAGCAAAATTAAAGTGAAAAACTGTATCATTAATGGTATAAACCTCAATGTTTCATTTATGAGTAGGGACTTGCAATTGTGAGCAAAAGTGTTTTCTCATTAAATTTTAATTAAGATAAATGCTGCAGAACCACTCACCTCCTCTACTGTAGCATCATCACACCACTGAAGATACAGCTAGGAACAAAAGAACACTCACTGAACCTCACAATAAAAGGAGACCACCCAGACAATTATTTCTAACTATTGCCATTTTCTTTTAAATATTTTTATTCTAATGGTATGACCTCTGGAACACAGAAAAGGCTTTACTGGTGAGGCTTATAAGACAAAATCTAGTTGTCAGTTCTCTTCCTGAGCAAGCACTAGATTAGATCAGAGATTAAGATGAAAGCTCAAACCATGCTGAGTTACAAGTCAGATTTCTTTATAGCTACAAAATTAATCTTCATATACACATTCTTACTTTGTTCAAACACAATCCAACTTCCATTTGTGAACTTTTTGTATGGTTATGTAAAGATATTGTGGAGAAAGAGAAGTTAATTCTTGTCAGGACACCAACCTAAATTGATTAACTATTTCCCCATCCAAGAACATAAAAATAAAATCCAGCTACTACTCTCAATATGGAAGAATTACTTTGCCTCCCATCACCTACTGAAAGCTGAGAAATTATTAAGTTTTGCTTTACCTCTGCTGTCAATAGCATATTATTGACTAATTCCATGTAGGCTTTCATCTCAGCTTTTTGGACTTCATCCAACCCATCACTGAGTGAATGGCCCTAAGGGGGTTTAAAAAAAATTACAATCCTGTAAGAAAGAATATTGTAATATTCAGCTATGGCCTGATCCAAAACCCATGGAAGTCACTGAGCTTTCACTCAGGGTCTCCTCTGATCTTCTGTGTAGTCCATTAATTCATAAAATAGATATATATTACAAAGTCTCTTCTATACAAAAAGATCTTTTACTATTACACAGAAAGGTTGAATAGCATGACACAAAGTAATTAAATACAAAACAGTAAGAAAGGTAACTGCAAATAATCCAAAACTATGCATTTATTTTTCAGATAAACATAGTTTAATTGCCTAGCTTCACTTCTATTAAGACATTATCTGTGTAAAGAAAAAATGTATATAAGCATTAGCTGAAACCTCAAGACTTAAAAACCCCACAAAAACCTACATACCATTTCCTAAGAGTTGTGTTTTAGGGATCCACGAAAGAAGTACAACTGAAGTTTAAGTTAACAAAAACTTTTGGATCCAATATACAGAAAACCTATATTTAACAAGTTATTTCTAGAATGTGAGTAAATGCCACAGAAAAACATTCCTATACCATACCTTCACAATATTTCACCAAATTTTACTCAGGAAAGAAAGTTTCTTCTTTAATTGTAACAATACAGATGCACTGACTTTTGTACAATGTCGCTTTATTCTCTCAAACTTGCCCCAATCACACTTCACCTTCTGCCCTCTCTCAAGTCTGTTTTCATTCCTCCCTTGCTCTTCTCCTTAACATCTAATTTTCCATTGGCTGTTTCCCCTCAAGAAAAATAGGCTTTAGTCTCTCCTATCTTTAAAACTCCTATCTCACCACACTCCTCCAACCACCACACCATCTCCTTTTGCTAAACTCACCACCGCCCTCCCCATCTCCTAATCTCACTGATGTACTGTTTACAATCACCATTAGGACTGCTTCTCCTGCTCTTCCAGGTCTTGCACTCAACTGAAACCAAAAGTCTCGAAGTCTCTAATGACCTCTTCCTTTGCAAAGTTCACAAACAACGCTGCATTCATATCTCCTCAACTATCAGCTGCTTTCAACACTATTGGCCACGTTCCTCATCTTGAAATTGTTTCTACTCTTTATTTTATAGACTATTTGCTTCTGATTCTCCTCTTGCCTCCTGAAGGAGCGGCTGGAGAGGTCTTCAGAGGATTCTTTCCCACACTCCCACCCTGCCTCGTCCCTTCACATTTCTGCGAGGGCTCCACGTAGCTCTGCCCTTGGATCAGTTCTCTTTATATCTGCACCTTTTTTCTGGATAATCTCAATTACAAACACAAATTCAAACATCTCCATACAAGTGACTCAAAACCATCCCTTTCTGTCCAAATGAAAATCTCAGCCTGCATCTTGGACTGCTTCATGGCTGTCTGTCAGTGCAATGTCAAAACAGCTAAAACAGAGCTCTTAATTTCCCCTCTAAGCCCTCCCTGTATACCCTGGTTTCCTTAATCACTATGGACAGTAGCACCCACCTTCCATGACTGAATACTCTAATCCGTGCGTCACCTTTGAGTCTCACTTCTCACATGAAGGCTACCTCTAAAATCCTGCAGAGCCTTTCCTCAGAAGAGCTCTAAAATATAAGCTTTCCTATCCACCCCCACACCTGAAAGTCATATCCAGCTTCTCACCATCTCATGTCTCAATTACTTGAACATCATTTTCTGTTTGGCTTCCCCACTCCCATGCATCCATTCAGCATGCTGTTAAAATTATTTCCCTAGCCTATTACACTGTCCATATTTGTCTTCAGTTTCAAGGCCATTCACAGACTGTTCCCTCCCTACCTATTCTCCGCCATTCAACACAAAGAGGCTGGTTTCTTTTTCCAGCTGGTCTAGGATGCCACCTGGTCTAGGATGCTCCATCCTGGAGCACCTTCAAGCCTTCTCCTTCACAGGAACTCCTCATAAACCCACTTAAAAGGAGCACAATTAGGTCCCTCCTTCACTAGTGCTCACACAAAATCATGACAGCAATAAGCTTGTCAGAGTGCCGAGATCACTGCCCACCAATTCAGTCTCACTATTTTCTTGTACTTCCTCATCTCACTGGATCCATCCATTTTATCTTTTCTACTATATAAATGGCTACTTGTCACTGTCTGATAGGATACTGGACTACACAGACCTTTGGTCTGATTTAGACAGTTCTTAAATTCTTTTCAAATAAAGAAATCATTTATGGCATATGTTGTACACAGAACAATATAGAGGGGTCCAGTTTTGCAACCTTGTTAGCTTTGTATGAGGCAGAAGGTAGGGCAGGGTGGCATCTTAGAGATTAACTGGTTTAGAGAGGCATGAGCAGGGCTGTCCCTAGGGGGGTGTGAATCAGGGTGACTGTCCATACAGGCCCCACCACTGCCAGCTTCTGCAGGGAGTCACCCCCCCACCCCACCCCTGCTGCCACCAGCTTCTTCAGGCGGTCACCACTCCCACCCCCTGGCCCTGCACACCCCTAGCGACATCTCTGGGCATGAATTTTCACTGGCACCACCTCTGTCAAATGCTAAGAATGGCCCCCCTGAAATAAGTTTCTAACGGTGCCACCACACCTTCTGCCTAACTTCAGACTAACGTGGCTGACCACCTCTGTGCTCTAGATACTAGAATAATGCAAATACTTAGTTTCTTCTTAGGAAATGCTGTTAAGTGCAAATATGAAAGTGACTGACTTACTATTCAGTTACTTATCACACACATTTAGTATTACCTTGGCTTTTACAAACTGGACTATGGGGCCAAGTTCAGACACTACTTGATTTCCCACATGAATGAACGGTACTTTGCCTGTCATGAAAGAGAATTAATTTTTAGTTAATTACATTATGGCATGTAGAAATTAAATTTTAAAATCATGGCTTTGAAGTGTTGCTGCAAAACATAGCCAAAACCCCTAATTTTTTCTAATTGCATAAATCAAGCACAAAATGTACACATCTCCATTTACAAGAGACAGGTGGACTAACTGACCAAACAGCTGACCAACAGCCTCTTCAATTCACTAGTTTGGGCTACAAACCTGCCTCACTCAACTTACCCTGATTCCTTTTTAAAAAAGAAAAAAAAATTTGCAAGCATTGCACATAGTTTAGGACAAATTGGCAGGTCTCAATCCAATAATAATTAATCTCACCTGCTACTTCAACATTTCCCCAAAGCACAGTTGAGAAATCCCAGAAAAAATAGAACATTTGTTCAGTTTTATGGAACAGTGTCCCTTCCCCCCCGCACCAGTACAGTTAGGGGACAGTGGAGGTTGACTGGATGGCAGGGGACGCTGGGAAATGGTAAAGTTTATGCTCAGCAAAATCCAGGAGAGGGGGAGGAGCTGTGTTTCTCTTATCCTCACTGACAGGAGGGAGGCCTACTAGAGCTATCTGAAATCTCCTGAAAAGCTCCTGCTGTCAGCTTTGCTCCCCTCCCACCCACAGTTATAAGGCAGGAAGCGCCTTTCTAGCTGTTGCAGCACCCAACCAAATGCCTGTTTGAAGGCATTCAGCTTGTCACAGGAGGATCAGAGGGACAGATTTCATCGATGGACATTGTACTACAAAAATGAAAGATCAGAGATCTTTGTGAATCAAGGTCTTTGCTAGGTAACCTCTTACCCTTCCCTTGACATGGGTGGGAGAGAAGGGAAAAGGACAGAGCTTGCTTCTGAATCCTAATGGGGAGGGAGTGGAGTCTACCCTGAGTTACAGGTTATATGGCAATATCTCAATAACCCCAGTGGAACTAGTTAGATGCCTGCTATGTGAGAGCAGGATGAGGGCACAGTATGCATCACCCCTACGTTAAATTAATAGGTGGCAGCCTACTGCTTACGCCTATCCCATATGCCTGCATATCTTGATCAACACTGATTTGACAGATACGATCCTTCCATTCCTGTATATTCCACAGAAGGTAAATTTAAGTAAGAAATGCTATATACCTGTTCCTATATAATAGAGGTGCACGGATACATTGATATGATATCAGATTGGCACTGATATAAAGAAAATTGTCTACATCAGAAATCAGCCTGATATGGCTGATAATTTGGCTAAGTGGCCTGTGCACATGCGCAGCCACAGCGCAGCACATAGGCAACAAGGAGCAGCATGCAGAGCTACGTGCAGCTGGTTAAGCCTGTTGTGGTGGAAGGGGATGGGAAAGGGAGGAGGGAAGAGGTGGGGGGGGCAGGGTAGATCAAGGCCTCCATGGTAAGAGAGGAGAGGGGCTGGGGCAAGCATGGGACACAGCTATGGCTCGTCTGGGTGTGTGGGGAAGGGGACAGGCGGCTCCCACCACTGTGAGCCACATATCCAGGAGTCACTCATCCAGCACTCACCCAGCAGCTCCTGCCACTCGTCTGGGAGGGCATGGGGGATTGTGTGCACCTGGATCTGCATGGGGTAGAGCGAGGCAGCCTGGGGCCAGGACTGCACCAGGCTCTTCCTGACAGGGGGCTGGGCTGGGCTCGGGGTGCGCAGTGGCAGCACTGAGAGAGGGCTACAGGGAGGCTGCAGTCACCTTAAAAATTGGCATAGCCCCCCAACCCCATTCCCAGTGCCCCCACTGCCTGCCCCACGTCCAGCATGGCCCAGTCCCCCACTGGGAAGAGCCCACCCCACCCTGCCCCACACACAGATCCAGGGGCATACCCCCCTCCCCCATGCCCACCTAGACAAGCAGCGGGAACAGTGGCAGGAGCTCCCGGAAGAGTGCGTGAGCACTGGATGAACAACTCCCAGACAAGTGCTGCACAGCGGTGGGAGCCACCCCTCCCGATGTCTCCTGCATGAGCCGCCGCTCTGTACCAAACCCGCCTCGGCAGCACTTGGCCCAGCCCAATTCCTCCCTCACCATGGGGGCCTTGACCTGCCCCCACTCCACCCTCCCCTTCAACCACAACAGGCTTACCAGCTGGACCACCACTCTTCAAGCTGCTGGGCTGGTATTGGAAATTGGATAAATATTGGCCAATATATCTCCTTAAAAATAGACTATCGGTAACAACCCCCAAAATCTCTATCAGTGCACACCTACTATATAATCCTATTGCAATCCCCTTTTAAAAATGGATAAACTTTATACATTTTCTGTATCACATTACCCAACCTAATTCACAGAATACGTTTTGTTTAGTAAAACAAGTCACAGCATGCTCCCACAGGAAGAGAAGGTAAAGTGAAGATACAGCAGGTCCTTGTGAAAGATTTAAAGAACCAACATGATATCTACAGAAGTTTTAAATTAATATTAGCTAGATAGTCAGTAAGATTAAAAAAAAAGAAAAGAGTTCCTCCCTTTCATCAAATGCTGTTAAGATCCAGTTCAAACAGAGTTCACGCTTGAAGCGGATTCAGTCATGGTCTTTATCATAAGATTCACTCCTCACTGGCTCACAGTCAGCCTAAGGGTAATAGATGAGATGCACTGCCAACAAAGGCCTGCCTCATCTACATCCACGCAATGGATTATTACAAAAGAAATTCAGGCTTTTTGAACCGCAAGACTCCATGGTTTTAATCGGTCTATATTTGCACGCTGCTGGCATATAAAGACTGCCTTCTGGTATTTCTACATCTGGCTTCGGACACCTTCAGAAAGATTTTCTAGGAGAGTAAATCTTATGACAAGATTTCCTTCATGCTGAGCAATGTGGATGTGCTTAAGAGCTGCTTCAGTCCACACATGATTTTCTGTCATAAAAAAAATAGAAGCCTATGAACTGCCTTTCTGGCTACAATTTATTTTAATGTTAAAACTGTACTGAGGTAATCTGAAAAACAGAGCACCATGCAGCACAGTCCCAAAAAGGAGGGTGAAACAAATGCCACATTTATATTCCTAGCTAGATTTTTTTGAAAATGGAACCAATATGAAAAATTGAACATGCTAGATCTGATCAGTACAGTCCAACTGTCATCAACCAATGTAAGTTGTACTCTTTTGTTCATTATTTTTAACCGGCAGTATAGGAAAGCTTCAGACAAGCAGTGCTATTAAATGCAGCCAATATGGATGCAGGCTGGGGGGGCTTTTCAGGGCATTTAGGATGCTAGTTTCTTTGTGCAGACAAGCAGCATTTCAAAATAATTGCCCTCACTTTACAGTACACAGATGCAGCAAAACCACCATTTTTAAAATCAAGAATTGTCCTTTTTCGATACTGCCAGCCACTTATTTTTTATGCTCAGGATTCCAATCACCTCGCCTTCAGCGCCAAGATGGAAAAGCAGAGTTAACCATGCAGTCTACAAATACAAAAATCCCATGTCAGCAGACATTTCTACTGCTGCAAACCTGAATCAAATTTATGTAACTCTCACAAATGGATTCTAATGCGATGAACAGTAGTGAGTTCACCAATTCTTTCCTAGCTACCTTTTAGGTGAATGTTAAGAGTCTCCAACAGAATTTAGATGCTGTGCAATTACATCCTTAATTTATGACTTTTTTTGTTGGCAGTACCCATAGATCAGAAGTGGATTTAAGAGTACCAAGTCATTTATACTTCATCCTTTCCCAACTATTAACAGGCTAACAATGATCTTACATATAAATGATCTCTCCCCACTTGCCTCTTCAGAGGAAAATTTAACATTTGTTAGCCAACAGAGCATCCCCATAGGTATGTCCCCAAAACATAACTACAATGTAAGTCTTTCAGTTTGAAGAATGTCCAAATATTTTTCAAGTGTGTTACCACAAGATATCAGTGCTGGCTCACAACTTATGTATTTGAATTCCCTCCACATCTATTACATTTCAAATGCATGATATCTTAAATAGTTGTATATGATCACCCTAATTCAATACAGAAGAAAAACTGCAATGGAACAGGAACAAAATAAGAGGCAGCCTACATATACTAGCAGTGACTGACTTATCTGCAAGATGAAGTGCTGTTGCCATGGTATCAAAATGTAGGTATTACACAGTCATCTAAATGAACACGATAGTTACCAGATGGGGACATATATTCTGCATTTGGCCGACAAACCACCTGGACTGGCAGACTGCACATTTGCAAGAAGGCCTGAAAACAAAGAGCACAGAAAAAGGAATGCATTAATTTGCTGATGACGAAACATGCATTTTCCACCTATATTTAACTAGCTAATATTTAACACACTTCTTAAGTACAGTTACCCACTTTGTTTTACAGAAGAAAGACCCTGCATTTCACTTGACTGCAGCTTCTTATCCAGAACAATTAGTAAAAACACTTCTGTTTAACTCCAGACCTAAGAAAGATGAGCACCATCCAACTGCCAGTTTGTACCATGACAGTAGTAAGTGGGAGTGATTTTTTGTCTACTGGACAAAAAATACATTCTTCTGTGGTTCTTCTTGGCTAGCCAGGATATTTTACATTTCTAACATGTAAAATATTTTCATGCACATTACAAATCATTCCATGGTCAAATTTTACTAGCCAACGTTTTTACAAATGTTAATCTGCAATACCATTAAATTTTGAGTTTCCTCTGAGTGGCAGCATTTGTTTTGTAGTTTTTATTTGAATTGTTAAGGGAAGAGTTGATCAATATATTCTTACTTTCAATCTGCAGCCTCAGACTCAAAATTACTTGCACAAGATAATGATTTCTGTAAGCAGCAGCTATTATTATAGAATAGGTAGCATTAACTTATACTCTAAAAAATAGAGGTATCTTGTAATTTTTATTAATTAAATTTATTTATTTATTAAAAGGGGGGCATGCTCAGGGCAAGTAAGTAACTCAACACTGAGGAACAGCACACAAAATCCTGTTATGCTATTGTTTTCCCCAGAAAAAAAAGCTAGAATCTCAGATTCCAAAGCTGAAAGTGTTCATCAAGACTGGTATGATCTGAATAAATGCTAGTACAAGTAAACTAATCTTTAACACTGCATGTAAATAAGAGTTCCATTGCAGTTTTACAGGACGGTTTAAATGATATATTCATAACAGTTTTACTAACACATAATATCAGTGCTGCTTATGACCCATGTTGATCAACATGAAAGGTACGCCTTCTGGTTCCAAGTACATAACTATAAAGAAAGGAAAAATATCCTTTTCTTAATTTTGTAAACATAATCCCAGACTGAGACATATCTCTTGCAGTTGTATTTCACACCTACCTAGACTATGAATTCTGCATGCCCCAAGAATCAAAAGGCAAACTTTTGAGAGAGGTGAAAGTAACCTTAGACTAAAATTAAGAGCGTGACATAGGAAAACTCAAGGTCAGGGTTGACACAAATGCTGTGCATGCATTCCCAGTCACTGTGCAATCTGAAGTACTGTCTGTTTTGTAATTTGCACGTACAAAGAAGCATATGTAGTGCACATGTATGTATTTTTAATGCACATGAATGTATTTCTTTGGTTTAATGAGTAATTTTGAAATTAGGGTTTTTAATAAGTACATGCATGTGCACTTAAATCTTTGCCTTCTTTTCCTGGTTTAAGTCAGAGGCTGAGGAAATTCTGGTAGAACAGGGGAAGGATAAGGGAAATAACAAACAAACCCCTGCAAGGTTAGGAAAAAAAAATACATCACAGAAACCAAGTCAGGCAACATCTAGCAGGAGGAGTTTCTCTGTTGTGTGATCACTTTATATACTATGAACAGGGAGCAGAAGGAAGAGACTTCTATCCCTAGCAGGAGAGCCACAAGCTAGGACAGTTGCCAGGAACAAGCTTTTTCCTTAGCCTCTTCTCCAAGAAACCGAATCAGCATCCTCAACACTCCTCAGTCTTTACTACTATGCAGAGAAATCTGGAAGCGACCACTTCTGAGGAAATAAGTTCACTCGCAATAATAGCTCTAAGCTCAGAAGTAAAAAAAAAAAAAAATAATAATAATAATATTCACCCACTTACTCTCAGCATTACAAAGGAACCACTCAAAAGAAGACCTCCTAGTTTATCTTCCTTTGTTCCACTCAATTCAACTCCCCACAAAATAATAGGACTGTAGTCTTAATCCTATACCATCCCTGCAGTGGGACAGGGTCTGTTTATCCTGGTTCTGCTCTGCCTGAACTCCTTCAGGAAGCAGGAGTAATGCCTGGAAAATAACAAATGGTAACTTCCTCCTTGGATTGCACATACTATTAAAGCATATGAGCAAATATAGAATTCAATATATGGTTGAAAGATATAACTAGGGTATTGATTTTGTTAGGCTTTCAAAGCCACCCCAGTGATCATGCAAGGATGTAAACATCCGCAATCAGTAATACTGCATTATAGTGTAACAGTATAGATAGCAAAGAACTGTTTTTAGACCGACAGTATTTAGAAAGAAGAAAAAGACTCTATCTATTACCAATCAAACCACTCTCTTTAATCCTTAGCCATTATTTCCTTCTTGAAAAGTACCTGGAGTTTTGTTTGGTGTAATCCTACCACAATAATTCCCTCTACAGTAAGATACTAAATTAAACTTCATGATTCTGCATCTAGCCAGAGGTGATTTTAACTACCATGTGCTATGCTCAATACTGGTTCAGAAGAAATTATGCTGGAGTTAGTACAGCAAGCAAATTATCATAAATCTTTTAAATGTAATGGTGAATTCAAAGGAGAAATTGTATGCCAAAAAAGCCACTGCTGAAATGTCTGGGTATTTACAGGGTTTTTCATATTGACACATCAATTGAATTCTTACAGGGAAATGTTAGAGTTGGTATGAATCAATTCAGCAATTCTAATTTAAACACAAAAGGTTTCCACCCCAAATATTAAAATTAGTTTCTACTGAAAATGTGGTTTCATGATTGATTAATCCATGGTCCTCAGCACAGTAGAAAAACTGCTACAGTACCCGAGATTATCAAAAACTGGATTTCAGCTCTTCCCACACAAAAAAAATTCCAGAAACCAAAAATACCTACCATATAGTTTAAGTTTGGTAGGGACAATTGACCTCAGTCTTTGACCTATTTTGGAGACAGCAGGACAACATATTTCTGTCATAGGACTTTTATGCTACTGTAAACTTTTGGCAGGCTATAAGAAAAAAAAAACAAAAAAAAACAAAGAAAGGATTTAATGTATGGATTTCCCTTCTGTATTAGACTTCAGCTAGAAGTTTTCTGAACTAATGAAAAAGTATTCATGCTTACCATGGTGAAGTAGGCCCAGTAAACTTAAAATAGTGTCAGAGGACTTCTGGCAACTGAAGAGTTATATTGAAAAGAGAGAGAGAGAGAGAGAGAGGAGAGAGAAGCCCCTAACAAGTTTTTTTTTGATGCAGAGAAAAATATTTCCACATCAGCTGCAACAACTGAAGCTGATCTGATGAGCAGTAATTGTGTCCAGATTTCAAGAATCCTAATGTTTTGACTACATTGTAGCTGACTGACCTGGAGAGAATCATTTAAGTGTTGTTGGATGCACTAATTCAATAATCCCTCCTGCAAACAACTCTAACCTGCAAGCCCTGGGAGGCTCAAGGCTCACTGGACCCCCTTACTGCTGGCAAAACCCACACAGGATCATCAGAACCCAGTAGAGTTATGAAAAGCCATGATCTTCACAGAGTTTGCACCTACTTCAAATTGATGTAAGCTCATGGGTGTTTCCTTATCTATGCTAGGGGGCTTCAGCGGTCCAGTTACCTCTGCAGGTGAAAACAAACAGACAAAATGCCAGCGTGGTGGGATAGAAGGAGTTTTGGTGGCATGGAGACCAATAAGGAGTTCTCCCTCCATTTCCTCTCCCTAGTAGACTTCCTCAGATTTTCTACAATTTTTATTTCTCAGTGTGTAGGGGCAACCAACATGGGTTCATTAGTGGCAGGTCCTGT